AGTATTCTCAAATATAACAAGGAGAGGGACAAGAGTCGTGGCAAACTCAGAGCCAAGCGTAAGCTCAAACTTGAGCACAGCAATCATATGGATAGAATGGTGTCAAGATCATCACGTTTCCACTCTGCAAGCCAAACTGAGCCGCCCTTTTGGTATACCTAAAAGCTGCCAAATTTATATTTTCAAGAAGTATGATCTAGATGCCTTGCCTAACAATCCCCAAATTAGGATCAGCTTTGGCAACTCAGGGCTTTTGGACTCAGAAATTGGAAGGTGCTCCAAGTGAATTGTCTCATACCTTTCTTGCTGATGTCTGCTGAGAACAGGGAAGATATGGAGTTTGTTGTACAAACTCTATATCAGCACACGTTTGCACAGGGCCTGGTTGAGATCAATGGTTTGGCTCAGGGATTGGTAGATTGGGGGGAAATGAGGTCTGCGGGATTCAGGCCAGGCTCATATAAGCGTTGGAAAATGGGTCAAGAATTGGAGAGCACGGTTTTAAGACTGATCGCTCAAACAACACTAATCTGTTGATCTTTCTGCTTTTCAGGTGTCACTGCTCTGGACGCCAGGACTGGAAAGAGTGAAGAATTGATCCGCAAGGATCAAGAGAGGATGCTTGATCTTTCTTGGGTCAACAAGACTCTTGCAGAATGGATTTCAATGTTGTGCATGCATGCCTTCAGATCCAATCAAGACTCAGCTATTGAGTATGCACTGCAAACATCATTCGGGTTCCCCAAGTGGGCAGGAAAAAATGATTGGGAGTATGATTTGTCATAAAATGGTCTATCACTCCACACCTGAACCATAACACCCACACTACATATGTGTAGCAGGCTCAGTGAATATGTGGTTATCATGTACATACAGTTCTGCTCAGTTATCTGCTCATCAGGATAAGTTCTTCATATGTAATACATGCTGTAACTTCTTTCAGATTGAAAAAAGCTTCCAAAAGATTGACTACATACACTGACTCAATGTTTTGGTGTGATCTCATCAACTCAACTGCATGTAACACACTTTCTGTTACTAAGACATAGCTTCAACAATATTGCTTGAGCAGCTACAGAATGATATGTAGTAAATTTTTGGGAAAAAAATTCCAAAGTCGAAAAAGTTACATGTGGTATAACATGTGATTTATTTATTCTGATGGGCAAAAAACTGAGCAGACCTGTATGTACATGATAGACAACTATTGACTCAGCTTGCTGCGCATATGTAGTGTGGGTGAAATGGCTCAGGTGTGCAGTATTAGATTCTTTTATGAAAAACTGTACTATTAATCATTTTCCTCTTCCAAATTGGGGAAGTTGAATGATGTTTACAGTGATGAGGTCCCCTCATTTGCTGACAAGGATTGGTCAAAATCACCAAACGCAAACATATTTGCTTTGAGTGTAGTGGTCACGCATGGTGGGTTCAACAACAATGCCACACCAATCATGATGTGACTGCTTATACATATGTGATCCTTACCAAAACTAATTGGACGATGGGCGCACTCCACTGTGTTCAGTCTTACAATTATCTAGGAGACACGACAGGTACTTATTTCATGCTTAATCAATATCACGTGGAATTGGTTCTCGAGCTTTGTGATGGTGTAGTGGAGAGTGTTTGGGCGTCAGATGAGGTTCACCAGACCTCACCTTCAATAACGTATGACAAAGGTAGTGTTGCCATGCCGCCCAGGGACTCCCCAATCACACAGTTCAGATGCTCCTTGCAAATAAATGAAGCTTTGCTCAACCAGATTGAAGGTATGCTGAAGATAAGAGAAAGGAAATCAAGTAAGGAATGGGGCCTCTAAACGAAAAAGGTGGTCAAGTGTTACAAGCAAGAAGTCAATTTCAAACTGAGCAAGCTGTGACAACTTGAGTTATAAAGCTAAATGTTATGTAATCAAAGAATATGTGTGCCTTTGCAGGGTTGTTATAACTTCATTTCCATACCAATTTTGGCAATACATTTATGCAAGGTTGTTTTTCAAAATTTTGCTGGACTGGAGTGTGGTGTCTTGGTGTGCCCGTGTTTTGTTCATGTAGGTAATGACGTGGAAGGTCACTTTGTCCGACTTTGAATTGTTTGCCTGACGGGCAAGTTTGGGACTATGTAGTTTACTGTGAAAAAAATGTGAGGTTGATTTGTGGCATGACCCATCATTGTTGTTATCAAGTGGTTTTTGCAAGCAACATACTGTTTTGATTGCGGGTGAGGTGGCTGGATTGCAATGCATGGCTGGGGTCTCACTTGATCATGTTCTGGGACAGTGATTATTCACAGGATTTACACCTGTGGTCCAAAATTACGCTAGTTGACCCCAACCAATCAGACCACTTCCTCAAGGTGCAAATATCACCCTATAATATCTGAAACGTGAGTCTGGTTTGTTTTGATAATCATGCGTCTTATTTGAAGATGGCCACACTGAATACAGCTCCTGCTCAGCTCCTTCCGGTTGCAGTTCTTGGAATAGTGTTATCTTACTTCACAAGTCAATCCACTCCCAACTTTCCAATTGATATGAGCGCTGCGGACCAGGCTTTCTTTGATCATTTGACTGTGGTACGCTTGCTTAGCCTACACTTAGTCAGCAAGTCTTGGTCAACTGCGGTTATACCCCTTGCATACCAATCTCTACGGTTAAACCAACAATTCACGAGCATCGATTGGGCTAAAGCATTGAAGCACCTCAAAATCAATACCTGGATGACATACTTGCGCCGGCTTTGCTTTGATAACCTATTATGTCCAAGTTCACATCTTAATATTGATTCAGATAGTATATGTACAACATCACAGACTTTGGGCCTTGAGCTTGGGTATGGTGAAACGGATTACCTCATAATCTGGACTAGCCCTATCAGCGGCGGGCGCCGCACAGCTCTTGCTCTTCCACTTAAACACTTGCTGATATTCAGTACATTGTAACAAACCATACAGGTGCCATACATGGTCAGCTTGCATGATTGATCTTTCAGCCTGTAAATAAGTAGCCGTGTGATTACCTTGCATATGTTTAATTTGTCTCCTTTGTGATAGCATTGCCTCTGACCACTCCTTGACCCTCAAACATGAATGTTTCAATTTTTGTCTCATGGACTCCCTTATACTGGAATATTTGTAGCAACTCAAACCCATTTGGTGACACTGTGTTCTCACAACTCATCTCACACTTTCACATTGTGAAACCCAACCCCTGGGTTGTTCACCCTGAAGGCTAACAAACACAAGCAAACTAAATTGATAGTAAATGCAACAAAACAGATCTAGATTTTTCTATCTGATGTGACTATGATTGCTCTTGTGTTTGACAACTCATGTACATGCAAACATCATTATCTCCTGCAAAGAATGAATTAACCTGAAACCATTTCAGCTGTCTTGATTATCAGATTTGGTCATTTTATCCTGCAGGAGGTCAATTCAGATTGTTAGAGATGATTTGTTGGTCTGAGTAAACCGTGAGGTTGCTTAGCAACAATTCCTAATATCCACATTGAGAGACTTATCCCATAAACTCCAAAATTCTTGACTAAGACTGGATCTTCTACTTCAAGATTGTGCGTGAGGAAGACAATGTGTCCAACTAATTAAAGTTTTCTAAAAAATCCTTTTTCACTGACTATGTAAAGCCAATCCTTCAACAATAAATCCTGAATTGTCTTGACAATTTGAGTTGAATCCATCAATTAAAATCCTAACTAATGTTCCAATTGTAGGAAGATCTTCATCATTTAAAGGTCTTTCATTAACTTCTTCAGTAGCAGCAATTTGTAATTTAATTGAAGTTAAAGAAGCTGCAAACTTGATCAGATGAAATACATGATTATTGAATTTTGAAATAGCTAGAGACGTAAGATATTGATGGCCATTTGACCATTCATTGCAGATCAATTCTCTAATCAATTTATGATTAGTAGCTCCAGCCAAAAACCTAGAGATTTCAAAATCAATATTAAATTCAGTTGTTTTTGAAAGGTTTGATTCCAATTTCAACTTTGAAGAAGAAATATTAGATAAATCAATTGAGTGATCTAATCGATTGATCACATGATTTTTAGAAACCAATTCGAGTCCTAAATTAGGAGAGATTTGAATCGATCTTGAAGATCTTGAAGCAATGCAACAATCTGAAAGATTAACAGAATCTAATAAATCTGAAATTGAATTTGATAAAAAAAGTGGTAGATTGATCGGATGGGTTCAAGTGTAAGATTGCTAATGCGTTGTTTCATTTGAATTCGATGGATGTGTTTGATGAAGCTAATGATAATATTAAATTATGTACCATTCCTTTTAAATCGTTTGGAGGATTGTCTATGATAGATTGGATGCTTTTGTGCTTTGATTGTTTATAGAAACCCAAGAGAGGAAGCCAGTAAGCTTGGAGATCCATTAACATCCGCTTTCAGGCCTTCTCTCGCCAGACCACCATGAACATTATAAATTTTGTGTGATTCAAGAAGAAGGATATTACTACTGAGAGTAATATGAACTTTGTCGGAGACCAATCAAAACCAAAGAGCAGGAGATCGATCACAACATTGATAGCTTGTGATGGTGTTGTTAAATAATCACCTAAACCACATTATCCTATAGATACTACTTTCTAATTTGGCCTTTCTAACGTTTGATCAGACTGAATCAATTCTTCAAGTTGATGAATTGAAGCGTGATCGGTTCAAGGAAAGCAAGAGGTGTTTGACGGAAACCCTTCGATTAGAAGATTGCGGAGATGGACGTGAGATATACTGATACAGGTTTAGATGGTTAATAAACCTATTGATAATAATGGAGATCAACCTATATATTCAAAAATTAATAAATGAGTTAACTTCAAGATTAACCATTAAAAGAAAACATCCTTACCATGCATCATTTTCTCTAATTTGATTCCAATGCTTGCTCTACTGATCTTTTCCTGTAAAGCCATCTGTTTACAACAAAAGAACCACAAATCAATTAATTTTTTGAACAGATCCTTCTTAGATTATTTTGGGTGAGAATGGGATGAAGATCCTCACAGTGATTTGATCAGATTGAGCAGCTTGAATGATTTGATCACCAAATCGACTTGACAACATAATGCAATGTGATAATCTAACTGGATCATCTTGAAATGTTTCTAAAGAAGGTAAAGGTGTTCTAATCAGGCCATTCTTTAAATCTTCAAGCCCCTGAAATTTCAAAAAACGAATAGAATCAGTTCAAGATCAAGAATTGAAGAATGTATAAGGAAAAATAATTACTAATTCAGTGTGATCTTTGATTTGATCATTATGAATATTATAAAAAAACACATGGATCGTGATATCACGTCTCATTGCATCTTATTTTGGAGTACCAAACCTCTAATCAAACCAAACCCCCAAAAAGAAAAAGAACCATCAATTAAAAAAACTCAAAGAATCTCATAAATATCCAAAAACTGACAATATCACTTGGAATCCTAGAATCAAAATGATAAGATTTGTTTCTTAATTGACCAAAAACCTAATTCAAGATTCAAGAATTTACTTGTAGCCATTTCTAAATGTTTACTTCAATCTGGTCTTGCTTCAATAATTGCAACTTCACTTAAACTTGAATCTTTTTGATTTGAATGACTTGGAATGTGATTTGAAAAATGTTAAGCAAATCGAGGTCCAGTTCATGATGAGATTGCTAAATCTAAATCATTTCATTCGGCACCTAATAACTTTTAAAAAGCAATCATATTTCTATTATTATTAGAGTTGATGATCAAGTTAAAGATTGATATGAAAATGATCCATACCTTATCCCTTGCCCAACCACCTGCTATTCCAACTTCTAATAAATCTTGAATGATTTGATGATCTTTTAAATGTTTTACACAATCTTTTAGCAGTTAATTTAATTTCAGTTCTGAAGAGTTTAAGCGAAGCAAATGATGAATTGGTTTTGTAGATTGTTTTTGTTTTGATAAATAAGTTTAATGAATCATTGAATGTGGTTTGAAGTTGAATGATAAGATTGACGACCTGATCTGATTCTTCATCATAAACAGGTTGATTGACTCAAAATTCGAAATTTAAATCTGACCAAAGTCAAGAATTACACATTGTAAACGTATACACATTTTCAACTTCAGCCTACTTCAGTCTGAGCAGCTCTCCTGAACGGTTTGAAATCAGGAGAGAAGCAATATAAGAATGGGGATTCCAAACGATTGAGAAAAATAACTGTGGAAGAGACTCGTCCTGAGTACTGTTTCCGCCTCAGTATACGGACTGAGAACAAGCAAATGGGAAGCAGAAGTGAAGAGATGGTCAGTTTGAAGTGATCCTTAAATTGATCAATTGAAATCTTACTTGTGCCATGATACAATTTGATTGAGTTAGTTGCAAATTATGAAATCTTGTTGATGATAGTATGGATAGTGTTTTTGATTTTCTGGAAAATATACTGTTGAGATTCTCATTTACTAATTTTTTTGTTGAATCAACCTGAAAGAACTTGTTTTGCAACATAAATCCCACAAAAGATTGGATACATCACTAGCTTAGAGTGCTTATTGCTTTGGTTCACCAGCTTAAGGTGTTTATGTTTAGAATCTGGGTCACTGCCACTTCTACAACACCTCTCTTTTGTGTGTCACCCATACAATGTGGATGCTATGAGCAATTTCTGTCATGCTCAAGGAGGTAATATCAAGTCCTTGGAATACAAACCTCACAACTATTGCAAACATCCTATGAGAGTGATATTGTCTGTGCAAAATCATCTTGAGACACTGTTTGTAGACTCTCTTCCAGACTACCTCCCGCATGAGGTATGCAATGCCTGCTTTCCAAAACTCAATATAATCAAATGTATTGATTCATCCTCAATGGTACCAGATGTTGGATGGTTGCAATGGAGTTTCTTTGGGAACATAAAGGTTTTGATCACACATTATATTGCTTCATGGGAGTATTGGCAAAGGATCCTCAGAGACCTACATAGTGTTTGCTTTGTGAAACCCAAAGGTTTCAAAGATATCATTTTCATATATCATGATGCTTCAAACATGGTTGATGTGTATCTGTCTGAAGGTTATGTGGTGCATGCCATAAGGTGTCATTTCCAAACTGGGTTGACACGTGCCAAGGAATCAGTCAGCCAGCTTATGCTCAAGGAATAACAGCTGCGCTTTTTATAACGCTAACACTTTGATCAATACAGGAATTGTAGAAATGGGTGGTATAGAGACTTGCGCTTTGGTCTGGGTTGGGAAGCGTGGGAGCTGTGGATAATGATTGATTTCAGGGTGGGAAATATTGGAGGGCAAGATTATCTTGGGGTCACGCCTGGGTTTCTATGTTTACTACGATTGATAGCGAGTTTGATGCTGTAACATGATGTTCTGATATCATTTGAGCAGCAGATTTTGTTTACTGATTTGGATGTGAGCCTGCTTTGGTGAACATCGGTGTTTGAAAATCATGAGAGCCGCTCAACCCCATTGAGCCAATGTGCTAGTCTCCTTGTAAATCTTCATCCAAATTCAAATGGTTTCCACTTGATTCCCCGATGCTTCCAGTTTCAGATCTAGATTTTGCAGCGCAATCATGATGTGATTGGGTGGATGAAGCATTTGAAGAAAATTTGAAGTCAGATCCACTCCCAAGAACACCATCATGGCTTAATGGGACTTCTCCAAGTTTGCCTAGCGTTAAATGATGTTCAACTACTGGGTAAATACCATTGCCAATATCCAGCCCCTGTTGCTTCTGCAGACCCTTCCCCCCTGTATCAATCTGAAGGTAAGTGTGTGAAAGGTCATGCAGAAGACCCAAAATCAAACAATGCATGATGTCAAAAGTAGCAAAGTCCAGGGGTTGCCAATAAGGTAGATCATACAAAGCTGAATGACGGGCACCCCATCCCTTCACAAGTTTATTCTGGAGCTTGGGAGTCTGTGCTACTATCCATTTAATGGCCAGTCTTTTGTGCACATTGTGCTTGACTGCATTGACGTAATACAAAGTGATAAAACACTTAGAACAAAAGTATATTGATTGATGTCCAGAGAAACTGGAAATTTCCTTCATTGCAGGTACATTGGCAAGAAGATACCACACAGCAACAGTAATTACACATCTGCTTGGGTGGTGGGAATTTGTGCTGAAACAAATGCTGTTGCATAGATCCGTGAGCTCAGAAATAAGTGGTTTTAATATGAAGTTCATCTTTTCACTATCTGGTTCTCTTCGGCTAGGGGTGATCCCGTGAACAAACATGTTTTCAGCTTGGTATCAATTGTCAGGAGGTAGATTGAAACAGATTAGTAACATCAATCCAGCAGAATGTTTGCGCCCTTGTTTGGATCCATACGGGTCAAACCAGTTTCAATAGAATCTGAAAACTAGGTTGCCAGACTTTTGTGTAAAGACTTGCCCATTCTTTTTGAATGGTTTCCAAAGAGTCCCATCCCATATGTCTTGCAAGGTCTCTTCAGGTGGAAGTGTTTGGTTGAGTGAGCTGTCAAGATGAGTTTCAAAAGATGTATAATGCAGCATTCAAGCTAGCCATTCAACAAAACCTTGGCAATATAAGATTTTGCAGGGACGGATGGTGTCGGACTTTTTGATGGGCGGTTTGTAAATCTGGGCATCACATTTGGTTTAGATAACTTTGTGGTGGAGAAGCAAGAGTTATTGCAATGGGCCTTCACCGGTATTTTTTCTGGTGGTCCATGGAGCGCAAAACACACTTCACAAGAGAGGGTTTGTATCACCGGGGCTTCAAGATGGAAAAATCTCAAAATTCTGGCAAGAGAGAGAGGTATATCTTCCCAGACAGGTGGTGTTTTTGGGTCAATTGAGGTAAGGGATGTCTTCACTTTCAGCCGCTCCAATTGCAGTGCAGTGTGCCACAATGCAAATGTAGTGGTTGCAGATAAGGTGGTCATTCAACACCTGGATCATAGATTGAACACAAGTGGGGTGCTGCAGCAGTCTTTTGGGTGTATAGAATCCTTGGGAGTTAAATTCAAGTGTGTGAGGTGTACTCGCCATTAATCGTGGATTCCTTTGACGAGGGTGAGGTTTGAAAAGCTGAGATGCAGACGTCACCTCTGGAGCATCATCCAAATGTGGAGGTTTGCGGGTTTCTGGAATAGTAAGTGTCAAGGCTAGGTAATGAAGTTGAAGCCACTAAAGTTGAGGTGGGTGTTTCAAGAGAAGGTACTACAAGAGGTGTGTCTGTGTTCAAAATCGAAGCAGTTCCTTCATTGATAGCCAACTGAGCATTAGAGGCATTCAGATGTTTCTGAAAGTTGGTACAATGGAACCAACAACCAGTGTGAGTCTGACCACATTTTTCAAATTGTCTTGTTGACCATCCTAGAGCTACACATGTGCAGCACATGTGATTGGGTCCAAGATAAGCCATTTGGAAGATGACAATGATGATCAAAGTGGAAGGTGAGATATTTACATACAACTAATTCATTAAAGGTAGACTCCCATTCAGACTCTCTTAGTAAGGTGTGAGTTGAGGAAAAATCAAAGCTAAAGTGTGATTTGTCCATGTTTAATTTCCAATGTTGGTGTCGCTTATGCAGGTGAAGTAGGTGATTATCATCCATCCGAAACAGGGTTTTGAAGCAAAACCCATGTTTGAGGGAAGTCATTCAAGCAGCCAAGTGGAGCATGTAAAGCTGGTTGGTTCAATTGATTGTGCACAAATGATCAAACATTGTGATTGTAAGACACGGTTCTTTGTTTGATGTTCAAGAGTTGACAAAAAGAAAGATTGTAAGGGAATGATACTAATAGTCATCCTCAAGCTTAGGTGACCATGAGAAGCTACTGTCTGATTTTCAATTGTACTTCCAATCACAAGAATGGTGATTGTAAGCAGATGGTAGTACTCCATTGAAACAAAATGACGTCATGAGTCCAATGACTCATGGCTTGAATTGTACATTTATTTGTCAAAGATTAGGACAACCATCACTTGGCGGTTGCTTGAAACATTCAACCTGATATTTTGCATCAGGATGATGTGAATTGAAAGACTTTTGGAGAATGTTTCAAACACGTTTGAAAAACAGAAAACAAATGGAATGAAATGAAGTGGGAAGAAAAGAAGCAAAGGTAAAACCTCTTGAAACTCTAATCACAGCAACCTTGAAGTTGACGTACTCATGACTTGTATTTATGTATTCCAAAAGTATGTACAACTATTCACAATTCTCATCACTTTGGTCAGTAGAACATAAAAATAAAACATGATATAATGACAGATATATACAACTTGAGGTCATATATATGTAACAAAACACTATCCACTTTGGCACCACTCTCCACTAGCTGGGAACTCTAAACTCCATGTCACTATGACCAGCTCCAAAGGGGATAATAAAGATTAGAATTTGAGATACAAAACAACTGAAGTTCATAATGATGGGCATACTCGATGTTAGTGCTTTGAGGGACATGATTCACATCATGGTCAAACCACTGGCCTCTTTGCAGGCCAGGCTGACACGGGACTTGAACACTCTCATGGCATCCTCAATGGCTTGCAGAACATCAATGGGGTTTGCATAATTCAATGCCAATTCTGCCATTACCAAACCATCTTGAAGGTCCACCCAGGCCTGAGAAAGCAATGAAGCTTGTAAACCTTTTAGAGGGAACCAATCAAGATCAGGACTGGGGGGGTAGATGCCTCTCTCTCCACTAATTCTTTGCCAACCATTGTGGAAATCAACATATTATGTTTATTACTTTTATTTCTCTAAACTCATAGTTTTAGTTTCTTGTTTGGTTATTTCATCTGGATAAACATCATCTTATTCAATTCAAGACCACCATTACATTAAACACCTAAACCAAGTAATAAAATGGAAGGGTTCATGATAAGAAAAGGTTGTGATAAAACTAAAAAAATTGAAAATGATTTAAAAGATAATTATGATTAAGAAAACACTGAAGAGAAATAAAAGAAGAAGAAGAGATAAATTGAAAAAAATGAATTTACAAATCAAATTAAAAAAAATCAATCTAAAAGACAAAGAACAAAGGTAGCATCAGAGTAAGAAAGAATAAACAGATGATTGATTAGTGTATAGAAGATGAAATCAAATGAAAACAAAGAAGAGACTTACAAATTGATCAATCCAAAAGACAAAGAACAAACCTATAATCGAAAATAAGATGAAAGAGAACCAAATGATCAATTAGTTGTAGAAGGAATTAAACTAAACAACAATGAAAGAAGGAATTAGAAAAGAATTTACAGGTTTGCACTTAGAAATGAAAATCAATTGATCCAGAAAGAAGAGAACAGATTAGGATCAGAATAAGATGAAATGAAAGAAAAAAAGATGAATCATTAGTTATTAGTAGATGAGAGAACTAAAAGAAGAGGAAGAAGATAGGAAGATGAACATAGATTTACCAATTTAAAACCTAGAAATGAACCTCAAAATTGAATTGAGAGATCTAAAACTCAGAAAGCATCAATAGATGAAAACTAAAGGATAAAAGACGAACAAATGATGAGTTAGTACATATAAGGATCAATCAAGATCAAATTTAAGGAGTACCAAGAGTAAATCAAGAGGAGATCCAAGGAGACAGTGGTTGGAGTGGTTAGGATGAGATGGAAGGATTTGTAGCTGAATAGATGAAGTGAGGCTGCAATTGAGTTGTGGGTTTAAAAGGAAAGGGAGTCTTTTGATTTGGAGGGGGTTTGTTTGTCCATCTAGAAGTGTTAGTTTTGTATTTTTTGTTTATCAAGTTGAAGTGATAGTGTTGTGGTTTTTTTTAAAGAGTTATTTTAAAAAAGATGGTTATTGAGAATTTATTAGCTTTAAACCCTTACAAAGGTAATATTTTTAGTATTATCATGAAGGACAGCACTATTAGGCGCCCGCTTTGAAAAACCCAACGCCCGGTTGTCGGATAGTCAACTGCTTGCCGCCCGCTTTTTGTTCAAAGCGGGCAGTCTTGTATTTTTCGAACTGGGCAGAATTTCAAATGAATTTCAAATTTTGAAATTGAAACTTTGAACAAAAGCTTCTTTTGAGAGCGATGAAGCTCTGCAGGAAGTCGCTTATTGCTTATGCTATGCGAGCTTGGCTCCGCACTCCCAGATGCGAAGATAGACCACATAATATCTTTTTATTTCTACCTAACTCACATTTGAGCCTCATCAATCAAACCGTGTTTTTGTTTTGAAAGAAAATAACAGTTGAACACAAGCTGAGCACACAACGTAAAGTAGTGAGAGTCCCAGAAACAAATTCCAGTGCGAGAAAAGAGGAAAATAGACAATTAATGATGGAAGAACAAAATAAATCAACGTTTCTGATCTTCAGTCCACTTATCCAACTGATCTTGATAATGCTCACTCCAACTAGGTATTTCAGTAGTTTTGAGCATCGCTGGGTTGCGACTGTAGACTTCTGGAAAAGGAAGAGACGCTTTCGGCCCCAAAGTGACAAAGTGATTGCTATTGACAAACGCAAGTACAATTGGATTGTGATTGTTCGGTGGTGTCCGATAAGGGAAAAAGGTGTGGCAATGCACCTTCCGTGGATCCAATAGTATCATTAGACGATTGTATGCGCTTGCAATGATATAACCCAGATAGGGCATTCACAACCAGAACTCTTCACCACATTTCGCTTCCTTGTGATCCAGTCGCACCCGGAGATCTTGAATCACTTCCGCCGCGAACGACTGTCTTTTTTGAGTGGGTCCGGTCGATGGAGGAGCTAATAGGTGTTCATGGTCTTGAGCATGGGACGAAAGCTCAGCTAGTAATCTCTGTCTAACATCCAGATACAAATGTTCAGAAAAGGGGCCAATCGTGTCTGCAATGGCGTAGTATCCACAATTCCCAAACGCCGGGGGATTAAAAGAAGATTCGACGTGCAATACCATGGATGCAGGCAGTTCCATTAAGATTTTTGGATCTGGAGGACAATCAAGTGCGCCTTCGTCTTCATCAATTTGGTCTTCTTCAGCTGAGAAAACCGCTGACCCAAAGGCTCGGCTTGCTTCAAGGGTTTGTTTGACCTTGGGATCACTCCTTGGCAGTTGTAAATCTTTGGCAATGAGCATCAATGTGACTTCTGTAACCAGCACACGTTGAAGGAGGTATTCAGGCGGAAAGGGGGCTGATTTGCTGACATCTAAGATAGTGTTGGCATGTTCAGACAAGAAAATGTCGGACAATGTCTTCATGATCACTGCAAATCCTTTTTGGCCATAACTGTTGCGTCCAGGAGAAAGTCAGTCTCCATTGTGTTCAGTGAGGAACAATCTGACTCACTAGCCAGGCTTCTCAACCTCAAACCCTTTGAACTTTCCACTCAGACTAAACATGGACCTTCCCTTGATTTTCCATTTCGCCTGCTCAGCAACTAGAAAACTTGAAGTTTCTTTTTGGTCAATGAGATCCCAAAGGTATTTTGAATGGTTTTGTATGCGCCTATAAGAGAATAATACGTTTAAGAAAAAGGTCAGTTAAATGAAAGTAAACAAACAGGGTGTGTCAAAATTCCATACTCTTGAAGCAATATAAAGTCTATTTTTGTCGGCCATCCCTCACAGATTCCAAAGGGTATAACGTCCACTTTGGCCTGATGGAGAGCACAGAAAGACACTTTTTGAGGGAACTAGAGATGAGTCCGGAGTTTGCAACGGTCAGCAACATCCTCAAAGAATACCAGACACTAAGTCAAACTCACAGGTAGGTCCAAGGCATTTGGGTGGCCAGCTCCTTTGCGGATGTTTGGCAAAGCCAAAAGAGTGGCTTTCAGCTTCAAAAGCCTCTTGGATGGAGCTGACGGAAGCGGCTCATTGCAAAATGGGCATAAGTTGTCATTGTCCTCGGTGTCTGAGCTTCCAATGCTACTGTCACTGCTACTGTCGCTATTGTCAGCATCAGTAGCATCAGAAGCTAGGCCAACGCTGCTGCTGTCCAACATCACAACCACATTTGATGTTGGAGGTTGCACAGCTGAAAGCAGGGGCGGTGAGTTGCCGGTTTCTATACGAACCGATAAGTCGGCGGTGTTTGGACATCTGTTTGCGCAATGTCCTGCCTCTTTGCAATGGCTGCATTTGTATACATGTTTTGCTGCTTCATTTAAGTGAGTAGGAGGTTGATTTTGAGAAACACACCCCCTGAGATTGTTATCTTTGGGATCTTTACTTGTTAATTCGTGGATTGGTTGAGATAAAGCAACTTTAGAAACCTTGGACGATTGATTTGATTGAGATCGCAAGCCAGTTGAGAAAGTAGTTGAACCGGCAGACGGTAGCTGAGAAGTGGATTGAGCCAGTTGGGAGTTTTGAGCCTGTGATGTTGATTGAGTCGGCTGAGAGGTGAGTAGCTTGGCAGGCTTGTGTTCATCTTCACTGGACTGGCTTTCGACGTTGGAAGCTAGGTCGTCCTTCTGCACAGGACACTTCCTCCGATTGTGCCCGTGCTGGTGACAGTAGCCACATGTAGGACCGTGAGCTTTCTTGGCGGTGTGTTGTAATTCTTTTGCTTCCCGCTGAGATTCTTCTATCTCCTCCTCCTCGAATTGAGATTTCCAACGTGTTTCCTTTTGAGAGCCTCCCAGTCCTACTCGTTTGTTGTTCTTGGGCCTTCCCCGGTTTTGGAACTTGACTTCAGCGTTGGAAATCGGAATCAACGAGTACCTGCCAGTTTTGAGTTTACCAACCTCTTTGTAAATCTTGCGGAGGGCGTGTTCAGGTGAGTCAATCAGGCGATTCAGCTGGTTCGATACCACTTTCTTGAGCTTGTCATGAGTACCAGGAGGAGGTTGAAGAGATAAGTGCCATTGTTGGTGGAACATAGTAGGTGATATAAAATCCAATTCTTCCAAAACACATGCCAGATCGTGAGAACAAGGCATGCCCCATACACCACGGAACGTCTTTGTACATGGCCTGTTAACTGCCTCGGAGATGTTCTCATACTGCACCTTGACTTTCAACAATGCAAAATGAGAGATAACACCATTGAGTTCTTGAAACAAATGAGGCAGTCCATGGAGAGTCTTTTGGCTCTCCACCCCAGTAAAAACTGTAATTTCTTGGTATTGAGAATCACCAGCTCTTTTGAATGCTTTGAAACAACCAATAAAATCATTGTTACTTCCATGTAAAAATTATTTAAGTCAATTGTGACCACCTTCCACTCAAGAAGTAGATGAGTTGCCAAAATGAGGCGAATCCAAGGTATAAAGAGCTACAAATTTGTCAGCTCGGTAGAGCCATGTTTTATCCAAGTAATCCCAGATGTTGTGTTGTTCAGCAATGTTTTTAACCGCGGAAATATTCTCTTTGTATTCTTCAGTGGTGGTGCTTTGAAACAAACGGTTCCAAAGTTTCAGGAACTTGGTCCACTTGGCGCTTTTGAATTTCTTCTTGCAGTTTTTAGCCACGTTATGGTTTATGTGCCATATGCACAGAAGGTGCCTCGAAGCATGAAAAACTTTAGCAATCACGTTGTATAATGCCAGCTCCACGTCAGTGCAAAAAGTCTCCGGAAGTGGGATGGTGGGGTCGGTTGTGTCGCTGTTGCCATTGAAGACAACTGATTTGAGTTGCTCAAGAGCCCAAATGTATCGGTCCTCCACCTTGGAATGCATGAAACAAAGTGCAATCGTAAATGTTTTGTGAGTGTTGGTCGTTCCGACAATGTGAAGCAGTGGGAGATTGAAGCGGTTAGTTTTGTAAGTGCAGTCGAGACCAATGACCGTTGGAAAACACCAAGCTAGATCAATACCCTCGGGGCTAGCCATAAAGAGTGATTGAAGCGTGCCATTGTCAGACGTTGTAGTTTGAAAGGCCCATTTGCTTTTGGAAATCAAGTCAAATAGACCTTGTATGGGAGTACGACCACCTAATCACGCGTCCCGTTGATGATCAAGCGCATTTCGAATATCCCTTACCAAGGGTTCTGATCCGGGTGCAAAATTGATGAGGCCCTGGATCTGACCAGCAGTACAACCAGCTGAGTGCAGGAGCTTGATTTGATGTAACACCTCAGGGGGAAAGTTTCGGAGAGGTAATTCAGTGATATTTTGAAAGGACATTTTGTCATCTTAGTTGAAGTTTGGCGGACCTTAGCCACAGATTTGGAGGACCGACTACGGAAGACAAGAGGCGAGGTGTCCGCCAACCAATTTTTTGTTTTTTGTTTTTTGTTTTTTGTCTTTGGAGCTTTTCCCTTGGACTAGCCTCCTATGTAAACTACATATATGTAATCACATACTGTAGTCCTGTAAACCCCATAAAGACATTTCAAATCTTCCTAGATTCAAAAGATGCAAAGCGATTGCACTCTGTACAACAAGCTGGATAATCATTAGGTCAAAATCCACATGTCTCATCAAATTAGCTTTAGGTTAAAGTGGAAAGAGTATTTATTGCCAAGCCTCTTGCTCTTCCGCCACGTTCATCAACTCCAATCAACTTCACTTCACCCCAAACAAAAGCATAGAGTGAGACTGTTACCGTGTGGCCTAAGTTAAAAAATTATGACACAGGCCCCTTTGACAGCATCTATGCTTTTATTTTTATTGGGCAATGATTCAATGCGATTTTGGATATCCTATGGCAATCAAGTTCATATAGACCTTTTTACCACACAATAAATGTGATAGTTCCATACACTTCTATGAGATGTTGTGATAGTTGTTTACACTTCAAAAGACTTGCTAGACTCAAGTGCCTTTGAAAAAACACACAAAGGGTAGAATTTTGGAAGGAATTAGTATGTCAAGGTGAATGGTCAACAGCTTGACATCCCTATTGTTAATTTAAATGAATGTTAGTTGAACTCATGAGCAAGTGAGAAAGCCAAGACAAGCTAACTAAGCATGGTTGAGTCACATGATTAATTATTTTCTTGTTCAATTGTGGAATGAGAAGATCTATGCTTTTCCGTTATCTTTTCACCTTTTCTCTTCACCTATGAAGTCATTCTAGTCATTTTATTACGGCCATTTATCAGCACTCAGATTTCTATAATTTTCCAATAAAATTACCGCTACAAATTATTGAACATGAACCATCAATTGGTATGTGAAGGCTGTGGCAATTGCTTAACCAGGATGACAACATCCACATGTGGTCAATGCCAGTGGATGGCAAAGAATCCCAAATCTGGAACTTGTCAAACACCTCAGTGTTCAGGTTGTGAAAGATGTTATCCATTTCTTCGCAAATCTCAATGCCAATTATGTAAGGAAAGTAATAATGTTCAACATTCTGAACCGCCAGTACGCGCTCTGCTTTCAAATCAAATACCTGGGACCTTGGCAACTCCAGCTTTGACTCCAATATCAAACACACCTTCAACCGCATCTAGCCTTCCACAAGAGTTTTTTCAGGCTGGATTACTCAGTCAACCAGAACTCAATAACCAGCCTAACTCTTTAGCAATCCAACGTTTAAACTCACAGGTCAAATTCCCTGTTCCTTATAGCTCTCGCTCCTCAGAACTTTCAAACTCTCAACTCCAAAGTTCTTTTCGTTCATCTCAGTCTGTAAGGCAAACTATTGGTCAGACTAAAGGCAGGAAAAAGAAGGAAAACAAGGAGGATGTGGAGGAGGAAAGTCCTGAAATGGAAATCTCAATCACGTTTACTTACCTAAGTGGAATTGGCAAGTCCAAGACTGCTGCAAATGCTCTCATGCCTCAAAAGTTCAAGATCGACTTAAAGAGCTCAAGTTGGTTTTGGAATCTTGGGTGGGATGTCTACAAACACTATCAAAATGAAGCTACTAAGTCGGGTTTTCCATTGAAGGAGGAGCGGTTGAAGAAGAGATTATGTCCACTTCCCGCAGAATTTTCATCTACCTACTGTATCCTGGCAGAAAAGGGGATACCAATCTCACAAGCGGAAATGGAATCAAAGCTCCTTTGTGCTCAGAAGATTAGAAAGCTTGATAAGGAAAAGTACAGCTTAATCTTCAACATGCAGAGATACATTGCCAGTATTAAAGAATCATCATCTGATTACAAGTCTGATAAACCTTCCCAGACTGAAAAGCTCAAGCATGCATCTGATTCATCTGATGAAGATAATGTAAAGGATAGTGACGATGATTCTTTTTCTGAAAATCAAGTCCAACCTCTCAAAAAGAGCCGAACTGATCTCAACAAAGATCTTGCTAAGAAGTCACTCAATCAATCCCACGAGGTGCTTCCATCTGAACCTCCGAAATTCTTTGATGAGGAACAAGCCGAAAATGAAGAATTAGATCAATTGGAAGGAAGCTTACAGCATGAATCTGGAACACTGACCATAGCCAAGCACCATGTCCTTGTGGCAGTTGCCCAATGACGAGCGCACACAAACCTCCATTGAGGCACAAAGGCGACTCGTGTGCGGTCGTTGATGAGCAAACACCACACAGGCATGGTGAAGTCTCCCAAAACTCGGAAAGGCAACAAGAGTGACAAGAGTGACAACAAGAATGAGAATGGTGAGGACAGACAAGACAAAGTAAGTTGTCCTTTTGATCTGTATCAATTTCAGACAAAGTGCGTTTCTGACTTCTTTTCACTGTTTTTGCAAGAAATCTGCTTCTTCCAAGAGCATTGGATTAGTGAATCCTGTAAAAATACCTGGCCCCTCCAAGCTTCACGATTTTTTGGTGGGACAATTGATTGATGATGAATGTGAGTATTTTAAGTTTATCAAGTGAGCGTAAGTTCACAATTTTTCTGATGTTGCCACTTCTAGCAAACTCTCTAGAAAGCTTTGGTGATACGCACACTTTGGGTGGTACCCACAAGATGATCCTTACTTACCCCCCTCGGACAATCTTGAATTGGGATGAAGGATGGCTCCTGTTCTTCACCACTAAGAATAATGAAGCTGTATTCAAACCAGTACCGGTCTCCTATCATGTGAATACAGAATCACACATTGTATCTGGCCAAAACATGGCGTGCTACAAAGCAGAACTTATCCTTGGCAATGAGGTTCATCATGTTGTAGCCAAGCAGAATCCATCCAACGACTGTCCCCTGTTGTATTATATGGGTCAAGTACAGTTATATGTGCATGCAGAGGCTGCTATTGAGAGGTTCAAAACAAAGGTTTTGGGTAGCGAAAATTTCACTGAGTTTGAAAAGGATCTTGTCAAGAACTTGAGGGTATGTTCCTTTTGTATCATCATCCAGCTTGGTCATATTGTAGCTGATTATAAATCCAACTATTGCATTGTATGTTCTGACTATTCCACAAAGATTGTGAAACATTGGGTTGTTCAACAGGTTGGCACTGAAAGCACTGATTTCATGGATAACAATGGCTCCAAATTCTGGCTTTTCAAGGAAAAACTTTCAGGAGATTATGTCAAATATGTTGGGAATGATGACTTCACCATCAAAGTAGAAGGCAACCAGCTTCATGAAATGCTTCATGCATTTACACATTTTGAATTGCAACATAATCTTGGCCGTTCTGTTGTCTGTGACTTACAGGGAGTCGGTACCACACTTACTGACCCAGCAGTGATTGATCTTGAGTAAGTGGATAGGATCAAATTTCTGCTCTTGTGTTTTTTATCCGGACTGATTGATATTGAAAACTTGGACACAGCAAATCATTTGGGGCGGGCAATACAAACTACAGCGGCCTCAAGATCTTAATATCAGAGCACAAGGAGGATGAATGGTGCACAAATTTAGGCCTCAAGTCTGTGGGAATCTGGAAATCTGAGCTCCACAAGTAGACACATTATTACTTGATTATTGATACTTCAATCACTGTTTCAAAACTTTACATTTGAATCTTCATTACAATTTGTACAAACTGTTTCACTATCAAAGCCAAAGTGTTTCCCCCTAAATGAAATCGTTAAAAGATATTCATGAAATAAACAAATTCACATATAAATTTGGTAGAACTGAAAAACTTGGTTTTGCTTTCATGTGATTGATCAATAGCCAAGAAAAAATGAGAAAAACTGAATTGACTGAGTCTGTACCATTAGCTCTTGCTAATCGATCTGGAAAGTTAAGACTTGCTTATTTATAGTATTCAACAATTGTACTCAAAGCTCGTCTTCATCATTCAGAAAACCTGCTAAATCCAAGTCTACTTCAATAAGCCTTAACAAAGGTAAAACCCGATGAAAAACAATCCATATGTTGTTGAGGCTGATCTGTTCTTTTTGTACATTTAATCAATGAAGTAAGGTTGATACTTGGAGTGCAAACTGGGGAGGAGAAACTTGTAGAAGGATTTCACGGTCGGGGTATTGATCATCAATGATGTCCTGAATGGCCTCTTGAGGTACAGACGTGAGTCCTTGGGTGCCACCGTAGTTTTGTGGTGAGTAGAAACACGTATCTGGGGCCACTCCAGTCGGAAGGTGTGAGTTCTGGTTTTTACAGGTCCGGTAATTGTTCTTTGTCTCCATGAAAGAGTTCAAAACACGTTGAACCAGAGGTATCCAGAGGTACCAAAAGAGAGCCCTACAAGCAATGACTTTGTATAATCCAGTTAGAAAGGATAACAAAATGAAAAATTCAGTCCTCAAAACACTCACTTCTGGATTGGGTCTTTTGGATTGTAAATGTCAGTGTCAATTGCTAATTCGATCTCTTCTCGCAAGGTTGTATTCTTGGCTCACATAAGTTGCTGCCAAAGTGACTCGATCTTCTGGTTGTGTGGTGATGTTGTGTAGTGATGATGTTTTAAGGCTTCTTCCACAGGCTTGCCACAGTAAATGTGAGCCATCAAAGCTCGAAATGTTGCCATGTCCCCAGTCTTGGTCTAGTGGTTGGTTGACGTCCTAGCTGGAAAGCCTCCGAGAGCTGAGACAAGTTCTAAATAATAAAGACCAACAACCCTGGGGTTGTTATTGGTTTGTCCAACACAAAGACTAAGAACTTTCCTTGACCAAGCATCAATAAACCCATTTATACAGATACCATAAGGCTTCAATTTATCATGCCCGTCACTAGCCCAAAGGTGATTGGGACCTGGGACATGAAGAACCGTTGCTTGAGACAACCATGACTGCAAAGCTCAACCCCTTCTGGATCAATGAGACACATTAGGTGATAGACTGTATCACGGTTGATTCAAATGTGATGATTGACAGCAAGGTTTTGCTGCATACACCAATAGCCAGCATTTCGATCTTCGCCCTTGATCGCTTCTAGTAAGATATCCACCAACTGCTGGACAGTAACATGAACTTGTTGTAAATCATTGCGACACCAGTTAATTCCCATCTCCTTTGACATTGTTTGTATGTTGTGCATTTTGATTGGGATGTCATAAGTATCATTGATTGCACACTTAGCTTCCAAGCTCGTCTTTCCCAGAGGGAAGTATTGTTTTAGTAAAGGGCGAGCTCGGTCCTTCTGATCTGTTGTCAGTGGTGGAGGGGTATTGGTGAGTTCAAAATACTGGAGAACACGCTGCAGGGTTTGCCACCGCGTGTCAATATTGTGATCTATTTGAAGGTGGATGATCATAGAAGCCTGTGAAAGATGTTCTTGACAATGGTTGATAAGAATTGGTTCAAGGATTTCATCCTGAACTTCATTGATCTGCACCATAATGTGGTGTTGAGGTGAATCAAGTAGAGGACTGAGAGGTGTTATGCTGGGTGACAGAGTAGAGTGATGAACAGAGAAACTGCCAAGTGACGGTTGAGGCATATTATGGGGTTTGAAGGACTACAGTATGTGATTACATATATTTAGTTTACATAGCAGGCTAGTCCAAGGGAGAGGTTCCGAAGACAAAGAACAAAAAACAAAAAACAAAGAATTGGTCGGCGGACACCTCGCCTCTCGTCTTCCGTAACCGACCCAGGGAACATCTGTAGTATATTTGCACTTTTTGATGATGATGGGTTTTGTAACTCTTGATTGAAATACTGTACCCTTGATGCCGGGCAATGGCATCCACGTACATCATTGCACTGGCCATGGGGACAAATTTCTTGTTGAAGGCGGGAGGTTGCATAAGTTGAATTGGTTCCACTCCTGATAGCAGGTCATCGTTAGTTTTTTTAAAGACAAATAGAATCATATGATGAGCTACTTACCAATAGGTGGCCAATCCTGGTCTTGCTCAGCATAGAGATCAATAAAGTCTCCTTCATCTATGTCCAGAGCGTCATCTTCTTGAGGACTACGAACTTCAGGAAGCTGGCCAACAGTGATACTTGGGCCTGGTATGTTCAAGCTGGAAGCGGAAGCCGTGGGTTCATTGTGCTGTTTGACTGGTTCAATAAGGACCGTTGTTTGAACGTTGGCCTGTTCAATTGGTGTTGGTATGATTGCCTGGCTGATGCTTCCGTTGCCCATTCCTATAGGTACTTCGGCGGATTGGATCAAATCTCTATCACTAGGTTCTTCAGCTGATTGAGTCACATCTTGTGGATCCTCGGCTATTTGAAATGAGTTTGGTCTGATAGTTGGATGAGGGTAAATCATCAAATGTGGACGATGTTGAAAGAGCAGGGGCAACTGGAATCCGTTTGTCATCGAGTATGGTTGGTATCGTGGGTCATATTGCACAGGTGGATATGCTGGTGGTGTGTACGGGTATTGGAAAGCATGAGGTGCGTAACGTTCAGCATTGGAATGGTCAGGTGCCACATGTGAGTTTTCAACATTTGTAGACAAGGTTCTGTGACTGTGGATGGAACTCTGAGATGGAAAAGGTGGCCAGTAGTAGGGCGGGTACATGAAGGGTTGCATATGACAATCTTACGATTGAATTGACATTGATGCTTGTCCTTGAGGTAATGAATCGAGAGGAGCTTTGCCTGTCATGGGGAAAGTTGGTTGAGCCATTGGGATGATGTGGGATACGGTGTTGATGGGTTGTTGGATGGTGAAGACAATTTGATTGATGTGATTATCAGGAGTCAGGCGAGAGACCGTCAAAGTCCAGTACGCCTGCACGGTTATGAAGTTTTTTAGTGTCAGCCACGGTAGGGTCGGTGACAAAAGGGGAAACAAGCCTAGCAAGGAAGACTTACCATACTGGGACAGCTCATATTGAAAGTTGTCCAGAGGGAAAGTGGTGAATTGATTTGGTGAGGGGCAAGGAGAGATAACGAAGAAACCAACTGCCCGGTTTGGGTTAGCGTACACCACTGCCCGCTTGAGTGAAGAGATGCCCGGTTGGAAAGATCAAAAAGCCCGCTTCGGAATTATAACAGCCCTGTATGTAATAAACAGGCGTATAGCTATTATTGTGCCCGCTATCGCTGCGGCTGCGGCGAAATTTGGCTCAGCCATGGCCGGGTTTGGGTGGGTATTGCGGGTATAGCCCCGAAAAAAAGCGGGCTTCGGGTTTTTTAAAGCAGGCGCCAAAAAGTGCTGTCCTATTGTGAAATCAAGAGTATACAGCAGAACTCTGTTTTTTTCTGTGAAATTTGTGTTTGTGACAGTTGTGTCTGTGACATTTTGTTACTGTAGCTGTGTTTCGGCATTTCAACAGATTTTAGAGATACTCAAATAAGTTTTTTTCAGTAGAAAATTTAGTAGATCTTTTTTACAGCGTAAAGTAGTCTAGTAGAAGTTCATACAAGATGTATTCAAGCATCAATTATTTTAAAATTATTATCTTTTTACTTTTTTTTATTTCAAAGAATTGGTTTTTGGAGAGTTTTAAATTTAATTGGACTGTGCAATATTATCAATTATTTGTATAATGCTGTTTGACTTTTTTCTATAGACCTAGCTTAGTCACATTAGTGTCTAAGGGCCTTGGTGACCACTCCGTACAGTATTTAGACTTGCCGGAGCATTTTCAGACCAGGTTTGGTACTGATTTTATCAGTGGAAGGAGAAAATTGAGGTTATTACAGGTGTTGGTTTTGTCTAGCACAAAGGTTTCTTTTTGAATTGTATTCCTCTGCTTCTGAACTTAGAGATTATTATAGGTTGAGGGCAGCTTAACTGCACCTGTTGTACTTACATTCTCTCCGGCTCAGCCTACGCTACCTGCATAGGAGTTCTACACCGTCTTTCTTTTGGAATGATTTTACACTTCCAATGGGATTGATCCAGAAGTGAGATCAATGTAGCCAATTGGGCACTTTGCCAGTCCAGCCGCAACCTTTTTCAGGAGCCCGAGGAATTTGTTGTGAGCTCATCCATGGAATGGACTTCTGGATGGGCTAACATTGCATATTTGGGAGATTCTTTGCCAAATAATGCAAAGGCTTCATACAAATGTGCTTTCATAATCTGAACAGAACAGTCATCCATAATTATCCAAAGCATATGCTCATGAAATTTAGGATCACAAGGTGCCTCACCTTGTCTTTATTTTGCCTTTTGCTGGTGATACTTTGAGTAATATCAAAATGATCTTCAAGCCTCTTTTTACCCTCCGGAGTTTTATACAATGCCACTTGCTGTTTTTGTTGTCAAAACTTTGGACCCTTGTTGGCACACCATTGGCCAGAGTATTTTCTGCTGAGATTATTCAAAATTCCCTTGCCCCATTTGTGTTGTAAGTTTTGACCCAATTAGCCAGGATGATTCTTGCCATTGTAGAGTTCCAAGGCGTATCCAAAGAAGCCTCCCAATCAAAAGTACAACATGGAAACCCAGCCATTGCTAAGGCGGCTTCACATTGTGTACCAAAGTGATGAGCATACCGTCTTCAACCACCAGAATCATCCATGAGTCAAAGAGCACTGGTTGCATTGGTTTTCTAATGGCTGCCATCTCTGCTGCATCTTTTTCAATAGTCTTTCATTACTTTTGGTTTGCTTTGAATCCAGCCGGCTTTCTTGCAAGGGACTTTCCCATTGCTCTGTCTTCAGCATCTCGAATGAACCTTTCCCAAATTTGTTTGCGACTCTCCCAAGCTTGGTGTTTTTCTTCTGATGGAGGATCAGTTAACTTCAGTTTGGAGACCACTGTGAGTATAGAAGATCCTCTCGCCTTCTGCGCGATACCCATAAGCATTCTGGTGTACTTGTGAGTGGCTCATGCAAGAGGTGTGGTGGCTTTGGGAATCTGATATGATGCAGCCATCTTCCCAATCCCAGCCTCGCGGTGCCAGACTTGCCTCAGGGCTTTAAGCTTTGCTGTTTTTGTACTTTTCCGTTCCATGATATCTTCATGTGTAAGCTCTCCATCTTATATCCAATTGGTGGAAGAAATACCTGTTAGTTATCTACTTTGGAGTGCACACGTGTCAAGGAATTACTAACCCGAGCTCTCATTGTCTTCATCCAAGACCAAACCCACAGTTGTGTCTCCTGGGTCTAAACAATTTTGCAAAGACAGATCAGACAGCAATACCACACGTTTATGTGCAGATGAGGACATACCATCTGGACGGCCTTCATCTTCAATGTGTGCACGTTTCCCACCACCCGATGATGCGCCTGGAGTCATCTGGATCATTGTCAGAGTAGGAATATGCACAAGTATAATGTAAAAGTGATTTATCAATAATATAAATTAGCAGGAACTCTTCACTAAAGCTGGGTATTCTCACTTCATATTTGACTCTTTTTGTACGGGTTCCCAAAGGTTTGGCACTCTGCATGGTCAAAATTGGACCCTTCCAAACTGCCAAACATGACCAAGCTGACCTCCACAAAGCATCTGTGCCTCAAACCCTTCATGATCACCCCTAATCCCAATGAAAGACCATGGCTTTCAGCTCATACATTTTCCAAAACACAGACTCTTGCCTACTGGCCAAGCAATCACACAAGTAGATTCTCATGCCACCTTTTGGATCATAGCCCTTGTGGTTGGCCTTGACCGTCCACAAGATCACCTGTCCAATTTGAGACGTTATGTGCATGTGTGGGTTCTTCCGACGTCTGAACCAAGATCACCTGTCTGACATGAGAATTTATGTGCATGTAGTAAGTGGGTTCCCCTGGGGTGCAAACCCATTTGTTGCCCTTATGACACATTCCCTACAACTAAATATGAAATCCCCCCCCAAAAGCACTGAAACTTGTAAAAGAGTTTCAGCCTTTTGGCGACAAGATCCAGATTTAGTCGTAGGCTAGAGCTCGCGTATGACTCACTTTCTACGGTGTAGTCACGAGGTGGATTGGGGGCCTCAATTATGAGTAATTTAGCCCTCTATTTATACATTTCATTTTTGCCTGAGACCGTTCTCTACGCCCAATCGATGTGCTTTTAACCTTTTTGTTAAGAGTGCTTTTCCCCCTTTTGTTGAGCATGCTTTTTAAACCTTTGTTTAAGATGATGCGTAGCGGATTCAATCGTTCTTTACTGCCGGTTATGACAAAACAAAGATCTTCACTGGTTTTTGTTTGACTCACTGGCGCTCCATGATTTTGATTCTCTTTTTATGCCGAATCAGTACGCTCAGATTTGCTATTGTGTGACTTTCCCATTAAACTATACTCTCATCCGCGCACTCCTTCTGTTCTTAATCTCTTTGTTTAAGATGAATTTGAGCGCTTTTACTTCTCATTATACCCTTCCTGTTTATGACAAAAGAAAGTGTATCAATATTTCTGTTTTACCATTGCCGGATCCTTCCTCCATGCGTAAAATGCATTCAAGTAGATGTATTTAATCTTTATTGTTATACTATAAAAAAACAATTGCACTCTTCTCATTGTGACTAAGTATCCACGTCATAACTCTCTTAGTTCGTGTGACGTAATCGATGCTTTTCATATTGCTTTTATCCTCCAGCGACATCTCCGAGGTTACAATCCATCTATCTATTGACATTGACTGTTTCCTCCACGTGAGTCTCAACCAAATCTCAAAAGCTTATCTCGTAACTGTTCCCTCAACTTTCCTATTACAGATCATTGTTTCTTTTGTTACCATTCAAAGCCAGCCCGCAGAACAATAATTCTTACCCTTTGAAGTTGTTATTAACTGCATTTCGTAATTTTCTTATTTTGGCCCTTCCCATATATTTCTATGCACATCAATCAAAATGATTCCATAGCTTCCATTCATCCCGCATTTGTCTCACAATGTAAGATACAAATTCACCACCATACGTCTGCATTTTTAAACACATTATCTTGTGGTATTCCTCCACTACGAACATTTCTTTTGTCCCGTTTTCTTCTATATTTGTCAACATTTTAATGAAGCACTTTCCTTTACAAGTGATTCTATAGTTGCACTTCTCTTCACAGCCTTAATTTTTGTTACTTTTAAATTATCTTTTATTTCTCAATCCGGAATTGTCTGTCACAAATAGGCTCCGTCTTTATATGATACCCCATATAAATTGTAATGCCCTTCTTTTACATTGTTATCTTCCTTCTAAACAGCACCCTTAATCTTACATCGTAACAACTGTTCTACCTTTTCTTTCAATATCAATATACACCCTAATTTTACAACTTAAAAACCATCCTACTTTTTCAATCAATCGACCATATTATCTGTGTTCTGACATATCCTCAACTTTGGAATGTCACTTATTAATCATCATTCAAATGAATGCCACTCCATCCAGACTGAGAATTCATTGAGGCTAGACCTGATCCGGCTTTTCGGCTGCCTCGTGTTCCAGTTTCGCAACCGTATGTCTTTTTCAGTTCCATTCCAATCCCAATGATTAAACCACAATATTAAAGATTACGCTTTCGCCTATTATGTATCATCCAGCTACCGTAGGTCGCGTAAAAATTGAACATCCCCCTGGACAAGTCCATTATGTTCATAGATTCCGAAACAACGTTTTCAGAATTATACACCCCTTTAGTAACATTTCGCAATGCAAGTATACTAGCTTTAAATTCTCTGCTCCTACTAATCAGTCCACCGATGGTTCGTCTCCGTTCAAATATTTCTGTGTCTCATAACACTCATACTTTGCTAATTCAACATCTCTACAGTGGCCGGCACCCTCTATGTTCATCAACTTCATCTCAACGGAACCATTGAATTAGTCCCTGTACCTATCATCATTACCAACGAGATCACTCTCTCCGAATCTGATGTAAGGGATTTTATGCAACAATTATGATTTCCACAGTTGAGCTTCAATCTTTTACAATAGGATCAAATCTACAATTATGTACAATCTTAAAGTTAAAACTCTGGCTGTACATCTTACACATCTATCTTCTCTATTGGTTTCTACAACGACTACTTTTCCTTCCATTGTATTGAAACAGCTCATCATCTACTTTTCCACTAGATTTAAGCTTCCGATAACCAATTCGTTTACGTTAGTGGATCACCAACCCATGGCATTAGTACTCTATTTGTCTTTATCTCCCTGCATCATTCGCTGTATTTGTGCCTTACATTTCCTCTATTATAGTTATGACCGACACACCCCAATTGTCTTTAACCCTGCATCCTCACCCATACTATCCATCATGTCGTTTCCCTTTGCCTCTCTAAAGTTATCATTTTCTTGACATCCATATGATTGGATGAAGGATATATGAATCCTTTGCCTTTTGTTTCTTCCTTTATCCTCCTTGGTGTTTCTTCAATTAAGCTTTATTACTTCCAATTGCACACACACCCTATATTTCTAAAATTTCCGTCGTGTCCTTATTTTGCCTCCCTGTTGTGCCTGAGGAGTTGAGCCCTTTCATCCAATTCGTATTTTTCCAAATCTCTAAGGTTCACTTATACATTTACCCTTCACGTAATCTTCCGTGAGTTCATTTAAAGCTCAGCAAAAATCTCCTCTAGAACTCTCTTCTACACCTTTCACTCAATCTTTATACTACGTCCTAACTTAAACTCCACCTCCACTTACCCTCAGATGGCAACCAATTCTGCGTCTCCCATCAAGTCTCCAAGCAGAACATTCAAAGGGTCCTCAACTAATGCTCCAAAGAGGCGCAACCATCCATTCATCGTATCCTCTTTATTTGATGTCTTTGAGAATGTAACTTTCAATCCTCCATTAGAACTTATTATTAAACTTTACTGATTTATTCAATTCTACAGGTTGGACCTGAAGTGTCGGGTATGTATGGGCTCCGCCACTCCCATACCACCATTGTGACTCGTAACGAAGCTGGGGAATCAGTGGAATGGGTAATAAAGTGTGTAGCGTATGGCGGTACTGATATCATCTTAGATGTAGATGGTGTTTATTACCTCAAAGGGAGATTACTTGCATTAAACAATAAAGAGATTCAAAAGTTTTACTACGAGCCTGACTTTCAATTACTCGCAAATGCATCTGAAAACCTGGAGTGCAATCTTGCCAATGGAGTAAGCGTTACTGGACTTGGCATCATCTCGACACGGACCCCTATGCCAATTGAGCCCGGAAAGGAAAATGTGTTTTTAATTGTTAAGCATTCCAACTACAATCCCGATGTAAGTCCCATTTCAGTCAATTCATTAGTCCAACATAAACTCCAGCTAAACTCTTCTTAAAACCAGGTTGGCCTTCAAACTACTTTTGAAGTCGAATATCGCGCAATGTGGTCTAAGTTGATGGAGAAATTGCAACCTCTGATGACTGTGGGAAGGGAAATGATGCTTACTGGACATATTGTAGGACGTAATGAAGAGAAACAAATGTGGATAGTGCAGGTAACTATCTTTAATGCCTTTTTCTTTACGGACACTTGCTGATGTCCTTTCAGTTGACCGGTGTGAGTGTAACCTCAGGCTCGGAGACCCCTACCCCATCAGCTCCTATCGAGGGGAGCTCTACACGCTCCACCCCTCGAGGTCGGGCTCGTGCCAAAATGTCAGCACTTATTTTGTCTTCTTTGTGCCATTTATTTCACTAACCGCATTCTCAACTCAGGATATTTCCCAAGAGCGAATCTTCTCAACCTCAAGCTTCCTCTTCCTCAACTGCTCCCAGCACCAACATGCCTGAAGATGACTCAGTTAATGGTAAAGGAAAAGGAAAGTCAGCCGTAAAACCATCTTCCACCCGGACCCCTGTTAAGAGAGCTAGAGGTAATGGTTCAGATGTTGAAACCTGATGTATGATGTTCCCATTCTTATGTCTTCAACTCAATGATTAAAGACTGGTATTATTATTCCCAAAATTTGTATTTTAACCCTCAATGGTTTCCTGCTCTTGTGTTTCACTCTTCATGACATAGCTATCCAAGTTATCTATTGAGTGCCCAATTTTTCATTTGATTGAGGCCCTCTGCTGAGCACTGCACTCAGGCTATCCATAACCCCAATGTTAAATTGGACGCCATCAAAGCCCTCAACATAAGGCTCCTGTCTACTGAGAGTAATGATGTGTGGATGCAAACAATCTTGTCCTTCAATTTAGCCCCCTCGCATCCTGATCTCTGGAAAACTTAGAAAATCGAGCCCTGCATTCTATCGCTCGAAATTAATATACCTTCTTTTGGATTGTGATGTCCGCTTTATGATGTTACTGTATGTTTACTGTAACTCCACTTGAACCCGCTGTACTGGCTCATATGCAGCCACATTATCTAAGATCTCTACTTTTTCTACAGCTACATTCCTTTCGTCAAGTAGATCATATCACATACACCTTTGACTTAACTTGATGGCATTTATCCATCGTCCATCTAGATCACATTTGACATTATACGTGAACTTATCAATCTCGCACTCATTTCAATCTGGCGTCCATCGAGACCTATCATAAACTCATTTGAAAAATTCATAAAATACTATTCCGAATCATACAATTGTCCTTATGGGTCACGACGACAAGGGGCTCGCTGCCGAATCTGTCGACCAAAACAAGGAATCTGTTTTATTGTCGAAATTCAAAGAACAATTACCGTACAACTTAGGCCCGGCGAATAGGACTTGTCAGCACTGTGGTGCTTTACGTTGGCCGCAAGAAAGGACCAATTACGAGGCCAGCCGAAATAGCAACATCTTCTTGAACTGTTGTAAACAAGGAGATGTCACAATCCCTTTGGCATATTTTGAAGGTTCCACGTTACCTGATCAGCTTATGGATCTTTACACTGGAAATGACCCAGGTAAATGCCTTGATTTTGACTCTTCCTGAAGCACGTTGTACCTGACTTTCACATTAGATTCTGGAGACTTCCATAAAGACCTTTCGGTCTATAACAACTTGGTTTCTTTCGCATCTCTTGGTTCTCATGTGGACAATTCCTTCGCAGGCCAAAAAGGAACCTATTGCTTCCGAGTTCATCCTCAATTGCATCACAATATAGGGTCATTATTACCTCAAGATCCGAATAACCCGTGTTTTGCGCAAATATTTATTGTAGGAGATGGAGCTGAGGAAGAACTTAAGATACGTCAAAGTAAGGCAGATGAGAAAGATAAAGACATTAATCCTAATCTTTTAAGACGGCTTCAAGATATTATCAATAAATTCAATCCTATCGCGGTTTTTTTGAAAGATAATGCAGCTATTATCAACTCGGATGAAACTACCCAAGTTGTATTAAAGTCTCTTCCTCCCGGTAAACGCAAAATGAAAACTTACGATAAGCCTAGACCATCAGATGTAGCGGCGTTAGTACGAGGGACTGGAGAAATTGATTGTAATCCTAGAGACGTTGTATTGCGCCATAAGGACGCCAAACTCGAACATATGACTGACCTTCACTCTGGGTTCCTCAGTGTCAGATATCCTTTAATGCTCCCTTTTGCCTCACAGCAATGGGATGGGATGTTTGTCTCTCCAACCAAAGGCTTGAATGAAAATTGTTAGCTCAACTTCCCTCTTTTTCTTACTCTTCATTTACTCATCTCTTTCATTGTTTTTAGGCAAACAAGAAGACTATGATGTTTCAGAACTCCAATGGGCGGCTTGGCTTCTATTTGAGCGGGAAAACCTATTTTCTCCATTTATCCACGGCCGGCGCTTGACTCAGCATGTTATCGTGGATTTGTACTTATGCGTTGAAAGGAATAATACTAGATGGATACGTGCGAATCAAAAAACAATTCATGCTGATTCCTATATGGGACTGAAAGAAGCGTACAATGACAACCTCAATCCAACGGGTCGCCAGATCATTCTACCTTCGTCCTTTCTCCCGGGCCCACGTCACATGAATCAACTCTATCACGATGCCATGGCGTTGGTTCGAGACCTAGGCAATCCATCTCTGTTCATTACAATGACCACGAACCCGGATTGGGACAAAATTCAGAATGAATTGAAGTATGGTGAAACTGCTCAAGACAGACCAGACATTGTCGCCGGGGTCTTTAAGCTCAAGTTAGATAAATTGATCAAAGAATTGAAGACCAATATGCGTTTAGGGGTTGTTATCTCTCATTTGATGGTCGTGGAGTTCCAGAAAAGGGGATTACCTCATGCGCATATACTATGCATTCTTGAAGAGAGTTCTTGTCCTAAAACCCCGGACCAAGTCGATTCCTTAGTGACTGCCGTTTTACCTGACAAAGAAGAAGAACCTCACTTGTACAATTTAGTGACTACTCATATGCTCCACGGCCCTTGTAAAAAATTGCCATGCTGGGTGGACGGGAAATGCAAATCGAACTATCCTAAGGCTGTTTCAACAGAAACTTCGATATCAAATAATCAATATTACGATTACTATAGGCCCGATGATGGGAAAGTCTTTAAGAAAGGAGGCGCTAAATTCACGAACGCTCATGTTGTCCCCTATAATAAATATTTACTCATGATGTTTGAATGCCATATAAATGTAGAGATACCTCTTGGCACTAGGCCTGTTCGCTATTTGTATAAGTATCTCACCAAGGGGCATGACAGGACACGTGTCCAGATTGAGATTAATGTAAGTCATAACTGTCATTGTATGATGATTTCTTTAAGCTGAGTATGGTCCATTTCGCAGAAGCGCAGAGGAAAACCAGACGACAACTTGATTGACGAGATTCTTGAGTTTGAAGAATATCAATGGATTAGCGCGCCCAAAGGTCGGCTCTCATCAGTAACACTCCTACTTATATTGCTTTATGCTAACTTTGTCGTTGCGTAGCTGCATACCGCCTGTTTCAATTCGCTATGAATAGTCGATCACCCTTTGTGGTGAGGCTAATGCTACACCTGGAGGGGGTGCAGTATTTTTATTTCATGGACAAAGACGAGGCCCAACATCGAATGGAGGTTGGTTCTCCGCTGAGGTCTACGTTGACCGAGTACTTCAGGCTCTGCGAGGAAAATGCAACTGGACTACTGGGTAAAAAGGCAAGAGATACGTTATACGTCGACATTGTAAAATATTTTAAGTGGGAAAATAAACGGTTCATGCCCCGTGTCGACGCAGCAAAGGCCTCTGGAATAGGGCGAATTCATTTTGCAAATGTTACCGATGGAGAAAGTTATTATTTGCGGTTGTTACTTTGTAATGTTAGGGGCCCTAAATCATTCTCAGATATCCAAACTGTCAAAGGAGTTGTTTATCCGACCTATTGCGAAGCGGCAGACAAGCTTGGTCTATTGGCTTCCGATCGTGATCATGAACATGCACTTGAAGAGGCATTGCTTTGGGCATCTGCTAATCAAATGAGACAGTTACTTGGCTTAATTTTAGTATATTCCGATGTAGCATCCCCGGACTCCTTGTGGCTCAAGTTTAGACTGTTCTTTGCGGAGGATGTTGAGCAAACCCTCACCAGCATTGGATTTACCGCTTCTATAGACGATGAGATTAAGTTTGCTTATGCACTTAAATGCTTGGATGAAGTTCTCATCGATATGGGCAAGACTGTTAAAACAATCGGATTTGACCCTGAATTAGTTTTGTCAATGGATCATCAACTACTTTCCAATTGCTCGGCTCAGATTCCTATCTTAACTGGACAATTGCTCAGCCTCGCCGAATTTGATAAACGGTTACCATTGTTAAACGCCAAACAGCAAGAGTTCCTGGATCACGTCACGGACTCTCACCTACACAATCGACAAATCATCTCTTTTTTGGATGGTCCGGGGGGAACAGGGAAGACTTATACACTCAACACTGTCCTCCATTACTTTTACGGTCAAGGTTTAATCCCGATCGCGGCTGCTTCCTCTGGCGTTGCGGCCATCCTATTGAAGAATGGCCAAACTGCTCACTCAACTTTCAATATCCCCCTGATCATTGACGAAAACACTTCATGTGATCTCACTGGGACTGATTTGAAGAGCAAAGCGATCATCAACACTCCTATCATTATTTGGGATGAAATATCCATGCAACACAGGCACGGGATTGAAGCAGTGGATAGGGCGCTGCAGAATATCATGTGAAATAAAGCCCCCTTTGGAGGGAAAAGCGTAGTATTTTCGGGAGATTTCTGCCAAACATTACCTATAGTAAAGCATGGTACTCTTTGGGACCAACAAGATGCGTGTCTCGTGTCATCGAAGCTATGGAATTACGTCACCAAGTTTGCATTAAGTGAGAATTTGCGATTAAAATCTCTACCGCAAGATGAGGGACAAACTCTAGGTTTTAGCCAGTGGATCTTAAAGTTAGGAGAAGGAAGGCTGCAGAAAAAAAATGCACAAGTTATCGACCTTCAATTCGTTAACTGCGAAATAATGGCTAATTACATGATAATGCCACATTCATTAATCAATTGGATCTATGGGGACGTGAACAGCATTCTTGAATCTGAGGATTGGAACAGTGTGGCTCAATATTATAATGAACGATTGTTGATCACACCACTGAATTCAACTGTAAATTCGATTAACGAGCTGATTGTCTCTGATCTGGAGGGTGAAGCGGAAATTTGTGTGTCAAATGATGAAATTAATGAAAACTACTCAGAACCGATAGCTGTGGAATGCTTAAATGCAATTGATTTTCCTGGATTCCCCGATCACTCAATTACCTTTAAAAGGGGCCAACCAATTATGGTCTTGCGCAATGTAAATCTTGGCACTGGTCTGTGTAACGGCACGAGATTAGTAATCATGAAACCTTCGCAATACGCTCTCAAATGTATGGTCATTACAGGACCTAATAAAGGTGATGTTGTAGCGATACCTAGAATGAAAATGGTTCATCAAGGAGATGTAGATAATCCTATTCCTTTCTCTAGAATTCAATTTCCAGTGACCACGGCTTTCTGTTTGACTATTAATAAGTCGCAAGGACAAAGCATTGAAAGAGTGGGTATTTATTTGTCTGCACCGGTGTTTTCACACGGGCAACTATACGTTGCGCTTTCCAGATGTACGACTTTGGACAACATTTGTATGGCAATTGTGTCCCGCATTGGTAAAAGCAGTACGACCAACGTAGTCTCAAAGTCACTTCTCCAAAAAAGGGGTAATTGAATAGAGTACGTAGTTTCATCAGTTTTGGAATGTCCTCAGTCAAAACCATATTCTAATTTGCATGTGTCTCAACTGTTTGCTTCAGATAAGTGTATGCGGTACACCGGTGTGTTAATCTGTCTCACACATCAAGTTAAATAATCGCTTCCACCCCAATTGCAATTCATTGTCAAATCTTCTCCTATGACCATTGACTATTTATCTTCTACTAAACCTGACTCATGGGGCGGAATCATTGCTCCAATATACTGTACTCGGTTGCCTGTTTGTAAAGATGCATGTTCTAAATCAATGGATGCAAAGTTGGAGCGGTAAATGTGTATAAGAGACCTACCAAAACAATCCACCTTCCACTGAGTGGATTTCTTCCCAACATCTGACCACGTATTGTAATTTCGGTTCCTATGAATGAGTTGTCGGCTCCCAATTGTTCAGCTAAAATTGTTTTAAATTCATATTCTACTTCAAAAGTCGTATAATTGTAAACCTGGGGGGTATCCGTCAATATCGAGTACAAGGACTTGGAACATTGATTAACTTACCTCTGAGTTGTATGCCCGGTGCCGTATGACGAGAGAGGTCGCGATCTTGAAAACTGGTCCGTTTGTTTCAACGGAGACAATCCATCCTGCCCCTATGACCTGCACAACGTTGACCAAATTCTCAGACGACATGTGAATGGTTTCATTGACCAATGAATCCCATTGTTGGCAGAAAAGGTACGCTTGCTGAATTCCGTTGTCAATCAAGCTGCCGGCTAAAATATGTATGCCATTTTCCACCCTGAAGTTATCGTGTGATGGTGGAGGTATAGTAATGACCGAGGTTTCTTGGAGGATGCCTGTGGAGATTGTATTTGACAAGACAGTAGAATGATAAATGACATCTTGGCGCCCATTCGGATCAAAGGTCTCCTTTTAAATATATATTAGCAATATCCATGAATAATTGAGAGAACTGGACATACGTTGCCATAGACGTTGAATAAACCTTCCACATGAAACTGATGATGTCTTGCCATCTATGAGTATGAGGAGGCTTCCTTTTTTTTGATGTTGACGGAACTATGTGCTGGAATCACGTCTGGCATATATGGATTCGCGAGAACCACTAATTTGTGGAAATTCAAATAGTTGGAAGTCTCAATTTGACAGTAGTCTGTCATTCTCATTCCATACCCACCGCCACTCCACCATTGCATGGCTTTTGATTGGCTCTCTTTAGACTCAATTGATGTTTCTAGCATACACGATTATGGATTGATCTATATTAGACTAAGATTTTGGCATCCATCCTAACACTCTACATCCCTTACTTGGATAGTAAGTTGCAGAAGAAACTATGTGCGGTTTCAAAGGGTCGAGCAATTTTGAACCAAAACTCCAATTTCATTTTTACAACCGCAAAGCAAGTATTCCGGTGCGTAAATACAAATGATTAGAGTAAGGCAGGCCAATCAAACAAACCATCTATGAGAAGTCCGGGATCTGATTTTGATGGGGCAATGGAATCAGATTGGCACATTCAAAGTGTTGACCTTCAATTACGGTTCATCCGGTGTAATAATAAATATACGTCCCCCTTCTTTAGAATCCTCTCATTGAGTATGGACACACTGTCAGTAGTTAGAGGTGGATGCACGTTAGCTGCATCTTCATTGATCACAAGTTTATACAATTTTTCTGCGAAGGTAAGGGAATCTCGTAAATTGATTGGACCAACAGCAAAAGTATAAGAAATACTTACCGCTGGCGTATAAGCGGAATTTGGTAAAGCGCAAACATGTAAAAATGCATCGTTCATTCTCGGTTCCATGATTGATGATTCGGTAGATTAGATTGTCGAAAAGGTGAACATTGATTGTGCGCCCGTCCTCGTATTGTAACTGATTTTTCCCTTCTGTGCCTATGAATGAAAGTCTCAATATATACGTTACACTGATGGAAGCGAGGAACTTACAATTTTTGAACTGCGCCATGATGCGCGTTACCACCTCTGTGGCAATATCTTTTACGGTAGGTGATGATTGAGGATTGTTAAGGGGAATCATGATTCTTGAAACTTTGAAGAATGGAGGACGTATGACAGATTAATGTGTTTGAATGTTTCTTTATTGTTTAGTTGTTTAGATTAAGCGTCGCGAAATCAATGTATGTTACTAAAGTCTTTTTTGCAAGCTAGAGTAAGGCTTTAAAAAGTAGCAAGTGCGGGTTGATCATGTGATTATTACGCAGACAATGACCTGTCGTTTGTGATCAATCATCATATCTTTCTCAATGCTAAGGAAGTATGGACTGGAAGTCTCCCTGCGTTTACAACCAATTGCACTAAGGCTTATACACATGTGCTTAGGTTTAGATTAAGCAATACATTCAACAATGCAGGGAAAAGGGGTTCAATATTAGATCGTACCCACTGAGAATGCGATGGCTCGTGCAGTTTGGAGTTGTTCATATACTGAAAATTCAAAACGGGATGTATGTGGAAATTGCAATCATTTAATGATTTTGTGGAAGTCTTCCAATTGATACACTAAACACTTCAATTATTTCTTAATTGGTTTAGACAAAGAAAATGTGAGGAATGCAAGTGTAATTAAAATATATAAGCCTACATGTATGTGTTCATATAAGTTCGAATACACGCGTGAAGAATCAGGTGTTAGGTTCTAAAGGAACAAATGAAGTACTGCATGCCATTAGATTTGGCAGATCCTAATCTCAGGGAAGGTGCGATGGCGCAAAGATATACTGAAGGTATAGCTTTTGCCAGATGATTCATTGGTGAGGCGCCCTGTCCGGTATATTGGTCTAGGTTTGCCGTGTGAGTCTACGTGGAGCTAGGATTAGTATCTGTCTGAACGTAATGGATGGAAAAATTTACCTCGGATGAAATCCACTAGCATTTGCCCTAGAAGTTCAACCTCAATACGGTCTTCAGCCATTGCTACCGTCATCCAGTTGACAATTCCAAAGCCAGGGACATGGGTAGAGTCAAGTGTTTCAATAGCGTCCATTATATGGATGTTGGTTTATTCTGAAGATTTATAATTTTAGAGGTCCGTTTGTTGGCTGGGTGGTGAATATTTTGTTGTTGGGAGAGTGAAACAATACCATTTGTTCGGCGGAGTATTTGTAACCTTTGAATAACATCTGTTTTCTTTTCCGCCTGGCATCCCACTGTCGGTTACTTTGCTGCTATGGTCTGGATTTAGAAAGTCCAGTTCTAATGCAAAAGTTGATGCCTCAAAAGGCTTCAGATGTAGTCAAAGTGTTGGTATTAAGACCATCATTGGAAGCAAATACTAGGCCGCAATTGGGTGCGCCCCGAGCACATTTTCCTGCCGAATGTCATATGCGTTTTTATAAAGCATGACAGTTTGTGGGTACCAATGGGTGAATCTGGAGTTTGCGAAAAGTCACGGAAAGTGAAATCTATCGGTGAAATGGTTAAGGAATTGTTGAAAATATCCGAGGGATGACAATATTTTTGTACTCTACAGTTGTCAAACCCGATGGAATGAAACCTCAAGATAAGGAAAGTATGCATTGAACCGAGCACCTGCAAAAGATTGCTCAATCCACCTGTGGCTACTAGATCCTACTGTATGACCCCGGAGAAAATTGGGTATTTCTCATCGGAGTAACACCCTAAGCTTGCAGGCAGACTCGCCAACGCGCCAGACGAGTCTAAGTCGATTCTTCCCCCTAAGTTTTTGACCTTCCAGACGAGTCTGCAAGCTCAAAAAATCAGACTTGCGCTGGTCCACTCAAAGACACGTCTGGCCACCTCCCAGACTTGCCGAGCCCGCCAGATCAGTCTGACTCACCGATTCTACACACTACATATGTACAAGTCCAACACTGTACATTACCGTACCCTCCAACACTCACCCTTACACCCTCAGCCTCAACAAATCAATATCAAAAACACAATTCAACTATTCCATCATCAAAGTCACTCAACAACAAATCTCAAAGTCGATTGAAGCAACCGCCAATCTCAAATCACTCAAAACCGTGCTTGGGTACCCGTCAATCTCATACACTCTGACAGCGAGACCTTTGCACCTTTACAAAAGCCTCCCAACCTCTCCATCAATCAATTGACTCCAATCGCAACAACTGCTGTAAAGTTTTTATATACTTACATACTATCTTCGTTACAAAACCAAGGAAGGACAACCAAAAACTCAATAACGACAAATACACTATACACAAAGGTAGGATCATTCACCAATCTCTTCATACTCCTCAGATTCACTATCATATATCAACATTTCTCCCATCAACTCATTGATATCTGCGTCTTCACCATCTTCTCCCCACCACATGTTCTGCTCCACAATTTCTAGGTCATCAAGTCCAGAAGCTTCAACACTAATCGCATTCACAATTCCTTCCCACCTTTGTTTTGCTCGCCTTACAAGTCCTCCCCACTGGCCAACCAGCGCTTTGGTCTCCTCCACTGATGATTGGGTGTACTGACGGGTATTCCAAAGCAGTCTCCCGACCCCAGAGTTCCAGGCCAGCCACTTTCGACCGTGAGACAGGCATAGGTTTTCATACAAAGTCCTCAATACTCCGACGTTCTTGGCCCATACATCCTTTGAAACACGCTGCCCTCCCTGAACAAGCTCTATTAACTCTCTTCCACCAATGTCTACATCCCATTCTATGTTTTTTCAACAACATGTAAGTAGATCTATCATAAGTAGTAATTAACTGTAAGTACTAGATTGAATACTTACCTTTGTTACATAGATCTTGGATAGCCTTAATCTTTTCCTCGGTCCAAAGCGCTGCAAGTACCATTTGATGAGTCTCACGACCGATCCGACAAACTTCCTCACTACTGCTCCGGTACTTCAAGTATGATTGTATCCCCTCCACTGTTCCTGGGTCTATGGCCCACCTCTCCGATGGGTGAAACAAGGCTCCCACATTCCAGAACGGGTCTTCGCATGGCAGCATCTTCGCAGCGTCCATTGTAGGACAGGTTGGTTGACTCACAGGCGCAATTTCATTGTATCGAGACACTTGTGTTCGATACGTTTCCCATTTCTTCTTGAACATCAACTGCTTTTTAGTCATGACTTTTTTCATGCTCTGTTGTATCTTGGTACCTGGTTATTACAGAAATTAAATCCGATGCTTTATGAAATGAGACTTGTTAAATGTGTATTGAACGTACCCTGCCCATTTCTATCCCACTTCTTCTGCACCTTGATAATACCAACCTTTGCTTCGTAAAGCTTCATCTTAGCAAGTCTAACCTGAATGAGAGCGCAAGCCTTTGGGTCTACAACAACGACTTAGTATAATACTTGTATACAGACTGAGCAAGATGAAACACACTGGTTGCCTTTCGGAGAGTCCGAAATTCTGGATTTCCAAGGTCCTCGGCAACCCTATGTATGGCCTTTTCTATTTCAACTATTGAGGCTGGCAATGTCACCAAATCCGCTCTCTCAGTGTCTGTCCGATTTCACCGACGCTTTTTGCGTAGGCTAGAGAGCTGTTTACCATCAAATTGAGGATGATCAAACAACTGACTGGAAGAAAGTATTATGTAATTCACATTAAACTCACTGGGCATCTCTCAATTGCTCCTTGAAATCAAGCAAGGAAACCAACTTCTCTTCCAACTTCTGGAGAGACCCGTCTTCCATAGCAGTCAATTGACAGTGCTTCTGTCGTTCCCATTGCAATGCAAAGTAATCCTTTGTGTATTCGATATTGACAGACTGCAGTCTTTCTAGAACTGCCTTTGCTTCTTGAAGTGTTTTCTCAGCAGTACACAATTTTGAAGAAGACGATTGGACTCGATTGTCAACACAGCACAAGTTAGATATCATTGATGATCAATTTTTTCATTTCGAGAAGAGAGCACATACCTGCATTGATACTCAACATCTTGTTGTGATGGCATGTCTTCAAACTGATGCTATCTAAACGGTGCTGCTTTGTAGTGTACCTGTTTACACTCACTAAAGGTGATAAGCTGCTCCAATTGCGCTCT